GCAATTTCAAGAAAAGCACTTTCTCCAGTGTTTGGGTCTAGACAAGGTATTACCTTTTCCCGGTCCTCCCTGGCTGGGCCTGCCTTCCTGGAGGAAACCTTCTGGGACGGGACACTGTGGGGCCCACAGGGGCCTCCCAGGACCTCTGCCGCTCAAGGGGGCTTGGGGGCCCCCGGGAACGCTCTTTGACTTCTGCCGGACCATAGAAAGGCACATGGCGTGGGGCAGGGCACCGTAGCTCACGCCTGTCATCCCGGCTAGTCGGGAGGCTGAGATCTGAGGATCGTGGTTGGAGGCCAGCCTGGATGGGAGAAGTTGGGGAGGCTCTTTACTCCAAGGAAACTCTCTCTCCAAATGTTTATACCAGAGTTTAGAGGAAATTCAAGCTGGGATTTGGAATGAAGGGGTCTTGAACTCAGTGCCTGGGCGCTGTCCCTCAGCTCTTCAGCTCAAGGCTGGCGCTCTACCATTTGAGCCACAGCGCCACTTCTGGTTTTCTAGTGGTTCATGGGAGATCAGAGTCTCCTGGACTTTCCTGCCCAGGCTGGCTTTGAACCGGGATCCTCAGATCTCAGCCTCCTGAGTAGCTAGGATGACAGGCGGGAGCCACTGGTACCCCAGATCTTGTATGGATAATTTTGACTGATTGTAATGAAGCCATAGTTATCCAATGTTAAAAAAAATGGGCGGCTGGGCAGGTGGCTCAGTGGTAGAGCGCTTGCCTAGCATGCATGAAGCCCTGGGTTTGATTCCCCAGTACCACAGACACAGAAAAAGCCAGAAGTGGCGCTGTGGCTCAAGTGGTAGAGCACCAGCCTGGAGCCAAAGATGCTCAGGGACAGCGCCCAGGCCCTGAGTTCAAGTTCCAGGACTGGCAAAAAAAGAAAAGAAAAGAAAAAAAGAGGCCTGGTACTGGTAATCCTAGCTACTCAGGAAGCTGAGACCCGAGGATCACAGTTCGAAGCCAGCCTGGGCAGGCAAGTTCCCCTGAGGAACCACTCAAAAACCAGGAATTGCTGGGCACCGGTGGGTCCCGCCTGTCATCCCAGCGACTCAGGAGGCTGAGATCTGAGGATCAGGGTTCAAAGCCAGCCCGGGCAGGAAAGTCCGTGAGACTCTGATCTCCCATGAACCACCTGAAAACCGGAAGTGGTGCTGCGACTCAAGTGGTAGAGCGCTCGCCTGGAGCTGAAGAGCTGAGGGACAGCGCCCAGGCCCCGAGTTCAAGCCCCAGCCCTGGCAAAAACACTAAACCAAAACAACAAAACATAGACCTTCCGTATGAGCCAGCATAGCACGTGTGGGCTTCTACCCTGACCATCCCCAGCCGGGAAGTGACACAGACACCTGCTAGCTTGTCCTCCTCCACTTTGGCTTGCCAGCCTCCATTTTCGATCCTCACCCCTTTCCCTGAAACTCCGCTGGTCAGCTCAGGCCTAGCTACGAGGGTTAACCCGCATAGGCCTCGATACTCCACGTATCTCTGGCCTCCAGCTGCACCCACAAAATGCTGTCTGGCCAGACCTGATTGCAGCTGCTGATCTGCCCCAGCCACCTGCTGTGTTCAACACCCACCTGCAACCAGAGCGCTCCCCGCCCCCCCAAAACCCCTCTCCTGTGGCCCCCAGATGGAGCTGAGCATTACTGATATCTTCCTGTCAATGTAGAAACTGTTCACTGAGGGACCTTGGCTTTGATGGCAGAATAAGAATTTCTGGAAGCCGGGCTCTGTAGCTCACGCCTGTAACCCCAGCGACTCAGGAGGCTGAGATCCTGAGGATCGAGGTTCACAGCCAGCCCAGGCCAGGAAAGTCCGTGAGACTCTGATCTCCAGTGAACCACCAGAAAACAGGAAGTGGCGCTGTGGCTCCAGCCTGGAGCATAAAGAAGCGCAGAGGACCAGAGTTCAAGCCCCATGTCTGACAAAAGAAAAGATAGATGCTTTGTCTTTGCTGTGATCACACCTGGGGTTCCTTTCTGAGTGTCCAGATGAGCATGCTTCCACGGAATTTTATCCTTCAGATAAGGGGGTGCCATGCTACCTGCCTTTTGGGGTGAGATGTGGCTTGATTTTGGGGGGAACATTTTTTCAAGAAGGCATGCATCCTGTCAGACGAGTGTGCAGGGCCTGGGCGCTGTCCCTGAGCTTCTTTGACTCCAGGCTAGCGCTCTACCCCTTAAGCCACAGTGCCACTTCCGGCTTTTTCTGTGTACATGGCACTGAGGATTCGAACCCAGGGCTTCATGCATGCGAGGCGAGCGCTCTACCCCTGAGCCACCTGCCCAGCCCCTAAATACTGTATTTCTGACTTGCCTTTACCCACGTTCCATTCCCTCAAGTTATCCCGCCCTACTTCTCTACCCACAGACACACTCCTGCAAGGACAGACAGACAAGATAGAGAAAGAACTCAGAGACTCTCCCGCAGATGGATCCAAAAAATACGGTATCTGTAAAGCCAGAAGTGGAGGTATGGTTCAAGTGGTAGAGCACCAGCCTTGAGTAAAGAGAATTCAGGGATCGCGCCCAGGCCCTGGCAGAATAAAATACAATAAAATAGAGATAAAAGAATACACATAATAAAAAAGCAATTCATGCTGTTTGACTGATGGGTGCTTTGGTGACAATTCAGGATGGAAAGACGATTATTTTTCTGTTGGATTAAAAATAATACAATGATAAAAGATTTCCCCGCCTTATTTGGGAAGAAGAAACTGAAACTTAAGCCACAAATCTCCTTCCATTTTTCATTGCTTCCTTGGCTCACGGTCCTTCCTGCCTGGGTTGGTTTTGAACTAGGATCCTCCGATCACAGATTCCTGAGTAGCTGGGATTACAGGCGGGAGCCTCGGGGCCCGGCTAACCTTAACTTTGAATAGACAGGTGTGGTGAAGCACTTCGCCTATTTATTATCTGACTCAGAGACCAAAGTCCTCAGTTCCTATCTTAGAGAAACTCCCTTTTCCAATAGGGCTTGGGAATGAAAATTAAAACCGCAGCATGGCCACAGGAAGAGGAGAATAAAATATCCTGACCAGAAAACAGGAAACTTTACTAGAGAAGCTCTTTGTTCTTCTTCCTCTTTTCTCTGCATTTAAAAAAAAAAATGGCCAGGAGCCAGAGGCTGGTAGCTTACACCTAGAATCCCAGCTACTCAGGAGGCTGAGATCTGAGGATCGTGGTTCAAGGCCAGCCCGGGCAGGAAAGTCTGTGAGACTCTGATCTCCACTGACCAAGTCAAAAAACCAGAAGTGGTGCCGTGGCTCACAGGGTAGAGCGCCAGCCTTGAGCACAAAGAGGCTCAGGGACAGCGCCCAGGCCCTGAGTTCAAGGCCCACCGATGGACAACAGCCAGGACAAAAAAACGGAAGTAGAGTTGTGGCTTAAGTGGTAGAGCAAGAAGAATCCAAGCGAGAGTTCAAAGCCTGAGTTCAAGTCTCAATACCAGCACACACACACACACACACACACACACACACACACACACACAGCGTGACGGTGTATTTCCCCATTGCAAAATTGCCTTTTGTTTCCTGATTCTTGCATCAAATTCAAGTTGCACATCCTCTAAGTTTGTTTCTTTTTCTAGAACATGGCCGGGACCTCTTCCTCCTCCTGCTCCTCCTCCTCCTCCTCCTCCTCTTCTTCTTCTTCTTCTTCCTCTCCTCCTCCTCCTCCTCCTCCTCCTCCCCCTCCCCCCCCTCCTCCTCCTCCTCCCCCTCCCCTCCTCCTCCTCCCCCTCCTCCTCCTCCTCCTTCTTTTTCTTTTTAACTATATCAAAAGGACTATTGATGATCAGCTTGGAAATTGTAGTCAACGTGCATGACGGGTTTGTGCATCTCGCCTGTGCTCTATGACATGGTGACCATTCTACCGTAGATAATTTAACAGAAAACACTGGAAAAGCTAGGTGCTGCTGGCTCCCGCCTGTCATCCCAGCTACTCAGGAGGCTGAGATCTGAGGATCGTGGTTCGAAGCCAGCCTGGGCAGGAAAGTCCTTGAGATTCTTTTTTTTTTTAAATGGGTCGTGGGACTTGAACTCAGGGCCTGGGTGCTGTCCCTCAGCTCTTCAGCTCAAGGCTGGCGCTCTACCTCTTGAGCCACGGCGCCACTTCCAGCTTTTTATGCTTATGGGGTGCTGAGGAATCGAACCCAGGGCCTCATGCATGCAAGGAATGCACTCTACCACTGAGCCACAAGTTTCTTCCTCATGGAAACCTCTAGAAGAAGTCTTCTAGGGTAACACTCCCGTGAGCTGCAGTAGGTTTGGAGGTGGAGATGATCTCCGGGTTTCGGGGAGCTCGGGGGCTGGTGGTAAGGTCCATGGATAGGTAGTTTGGGGGTCAGGGGGAGGCCAGCCGTATGGCGGGAATTCTAGGGCAAGGAAGAGCTCAGGTCTGGGGACCAGAGGTGGAGAGAATGCTAACAACGTCACCGGGCACCGGCGCTCACGCCTGTAATCCCAGACACTCAGGAGGCTGAGATCTGAGGATCACAGTTCAAGGCCAGCCTGGGCAGGAAAGTTCGTGAGACCCTGATCTCCAACAAACCAGCAAAAAGCCAGAGGTGGAGCTGTGGCTCAAGTGGCAGAGCGCCAGTTTTGAGCAGAAAAGATAAGCAGGAGCATGAAAGTCCTGAGTTCAAATCCCGGTCCTGGCACATTTAAAATTACAATGATGGTTGCTATTAACTCAAGGCCTGTCATCCTAGCTACTCAGGAGGCTGAGATCTGAAGATCACAGTACACACACACACACACACACACACACACACACAGAGTTAATGTGTATTTCCTTATTGCTCTTACACCTTTTTCCTGAATCAATCTTATCCAATTCAGGCCGTACATCCTCTGAGTTTCAGTTTCATCTTCCCGAACAAGGCGGGGCCCTGCTTGGTTTTGTTTCTGGGCTGGTCTTGGAGCTTGTTCAAGCTCTGCCACTTAGAGCCACAGCGCCATTTCTGGTTTTCCTTGGAGATCAGAGTCTCACGGACATTCCTGCCCGGGCTGGCTTTGAACCATGATCCTCAGGTCTCAGCCTCCTGAGTAGCTGGGATTACAGGCATGCACCACAGCGCTTGGCCACCATTGAACTGCATTGTCTCCAGATATGCAAATGCTCCCTGGACTGTCCTGCCCCTCTTCTCTCCCCACAACTGAGGGTGAGTCACCCTATCTCCAAGCCCGTGGCACCCCTGGGGTACAAAAGTTCAGAGGCTGCTGGCAGCAGCCTCAGCGTCACTCAGCGTCAGCAGGAGAGAGAGGAGTCTGGAGAGAGCGAGGGAGAGCAACATGGCTGCGGGACCAGGTAGAGGGGGCCCTGGGTCCCGAGAGACCCCATTTTCTTTGGGGTTCCATTTTGGTCTTTCCTTCTGGTGTGTCTTGCTTTAGGAGACTCAGTTTTTGCTCTGTGGTCTCCAACTCCTGGCCCGAGATGATTCTCTTCCTGCTTCTTGGAGTAGCTGGGATTAAAGGTGTACGCAACCACACTTGGTCTGCTCCGTATTCTGTGTGTGTGTGTGTGCTGATCCTGGTGGGGATTTGAACTCACAGCCTGGGCGCTGTCCCTGAACTTCTTTTGCTCGAGGCTGGTGCTCTACCTCTTCAGCCACAGCTTGACTTCTGACTCTTTGGTAGTTAGTTAATTGGAGATCAGGGTTTCCCGGATTTTCTGCTCGGGAGGGCCTCAAACTGCCATCCTCGGCTCTCAGCCTCCAGAGTGCTGGGATTAGGGGTGTGAGCTGCTGCTGGGGGCATTTTTCTCAACACTTGAGTAATATTGGAGTGTGGTCTAACAGCCGTTTCTTGGTCAACAGCTCCTGCGACTGGAGATGACACTCTAAGGTAAGACAAATACTGGCCCAGGCCATGGAACAGAAGCAAGAGGAAATGGATTTATTTAAACATAAGTTGAAGGGGCTGGGCAGGTGGCTCAGTGGTAGAGCGCTCGCCTCGCATGCATGAGGCCCTGGGTTCGAGTCCTCAGCACCCCATAAGCAGAAAAAGCCAGAAGTGGTGCTGTGGTTCAAGTGGTAGAGCGCCAGCCTGGAGCTGAAGAGCGGAGGGACAACGCCCAGGCCCAGAAATAATACAATTCTTCTTTCCTTCTATGCCCTGTTACCATTCTTTCGTTTTATCTTTCCAAATTAATTTTGTAAGATGATTGTGATTTTTTCTGCTCCTGTGCCCTCTGAATTCTTCCTTCCTTCCTTCCTTTCTTTCTTTGTTTTTTTTTTTTTTTTTTGTCGGTCATGGGGCCTGAACTCTGGGCCTGGGCGCTGTCCCTCAGCTCTTCAGCTCAAGGCTGGTGCTCTATCACTTGAGCCACAGCGCCACTTCTGGCTTTTTCTGCGTATGTGGTGCTGAGGACTCGAACCCAGGGCCTCATGCATGCAAGGCGAGCGCTCTACCACTGAGCCACCTGCCCAGCCCTCCCTCCGTCCCTCCTTCCCTCCCTCTCCTCTCTCCCTCTCCATCTCCCTCCCTCTCTCCCTCTCTCTCTCTCTCTTTTGTTCCTTTTATGCTGGTGCTGGGGCTTGAACTCAGGGCCTGCGCACTGTCCCTGAGCTTTTTCACTCAAGGGTGTGAATGACTACAGGAACCACAGCTCCACCTCTGCTTTTTGCGGGTTCCTGGGAGATGAGAGTCTCACGGACTTTCCTGCCTGGGCTGGCTTTGAACCACAACCCTCAGATCTCAGCCTCCTGAGTCGCTGGGATGACAGGCGGGAGCCACCGGCACCTGGCAAAAACACACTGCTAGCTGAATTGGAGGCTGGAACCCTGTGGTTCCAGAATAATCTTCAAACAGCCTGACTACAAGATGCATCTCTGGCTCTGTGTGGGAGAGACACGCCGACCATTCGAACAGACCCATGCCCCCAAGCCGGCGATGGAACAGAAAAACCACCGATGCCGGGCACCGGCGCTCCCGCCTGCCATCCCAGCTACTCAGGAGGCTGAGATCAGAGGATCACGGTTCAAAGCCAGCCCAGGCAGGAAAGTCTGTGAGATTCTGATCTCCCATGAACCACCAGAAAACCAGAAGTGGCGCTGTGGCTCAAGGGGTAGAGCGCCCGCCTGGAGCTGAAGAGCTCAGGGACAGCGCCCAGGCCCTGAGTTCAAGCCCCACGACCGACAAAACAAACCAATGAAAGAAAGAAGAGAAAAAGCACCCGAGGTGCCATGTTTGGGGCCAGCCGTGTGGTGGAGGGGAGCATGGATTCCAGGTGTGCGCTGCGAGGGGTGTACCTGGTGTGTTCTAGGAGGCGGATCGAGCCCTGGGAGTTCGAAGCGTTCTTCAACCCCCAGGAGCTGCGCAGGGAGGCGTGTCTGCTGTACCAGATCACCTGGAGCAGCCACAAGGTGTGGAGAGAGACCGCCAAGAACACGGCGGACAGTCACGTGGAAGTGAACTTCATCAAAAACCTGACCTCGGGGAGGTACTGCCGACCGTCCACCCGCTGCTCAATTCTCTGGTTCCTGTCCTGGAGTCCTTGTTCCTCCTGTTCGAAAGCCATCAAGCTGTTCCTCAGCCAGCACCCCGGTGTGTCTCTGGTCATCCATGTCGCCCGGCTTTTCCAGCACGTGGATCCTCAAAATCGCCGAGGGCTCCGGGAACTCATTCACAGTGGGGTCACCATCCAGGTGATGAGGCCCCAAGGTAACAGCCAGGGGGAGGGGACAGGAAAGAGGGACAGAGATTGCAAGCCGGGCTCCGTGGCTCACGCCTGTAATCCCCGCTCCTCAGGAGGCCGAGGTCTGAGGATCACGGTTCAAAGCCAGCCTGAGCAAAGAAAGTCTGTGAGACTGTTAGCTCCAATGAACTACCAGAAAACCAGAGGTGGTGCTGTGGCTCAAGTGGTAGAGCACCCGCCTTGAGCAAAAAGGAAACAAAAAAAAAAAAGTGAAGTGAGATTTTTGGATTCCTGAGTTCGAACCCCAGCAATGGTCCAAAAACACACCACCACCAACAGCAGCAAAATCAAAGTGATTCCTTTCTCTGCTCTTACCCCCGCAGCCTCTTAGCTTTTGTAGGAACTGTAAAGCATCTTGTCAAACCAACGAGACTTGTTTTGTCAGACCTGGGGCTTGAACTCGGGGCCTGGGGGCTGTCCCTGAGCTCTTTCACTCAAGGCGGGTGCTCTACCCCTTGAGCCACAGCGCCACTTCTGGTTTTCTGGTGATTCATGGGAGATCAGAGACTCACTGACTTTCCTGCCCAGGCTGGCTTTGAACCGAGATCCTCAGCTCTCAGCCTCCTGAGTAGCTGGGATGATAGGCGGGAGCTACTGGTGCCTGGCTTACCTTTGTTATTCGCTGAACCAAACAAGTTGTGTGTTTCCTTAGAGTATGATTACTGCTGGAAGAATTTTGTCAACTACCCCCCTGGGCAGGAAGAGCATTGGCCAAGATACCCCGTCCAGTGCATGGCGCTCTACAATTTGGAACTCTACTGCATTATTCATGTGAGTTTCCTGGAAAGACAAAGATTCTCACTGCACAAATTCTCCTCCTTCAAACTCCTCTTCTGCTGTTCTGGTGTATAGCCATCTGTCTGTGTCCTTTTGTCTTCTATATTGTTATTAACTTACTTAAGTATTGATCCATCTGTTTTGGGTGGGTCCTGGGACTGGAACTCAGGGCCTAGATGCTGTCTGTCCCTGATCTTCTTTTGCTAAAAGCTTGGTGTTCTACCACTTGAGCCACAGCTCCACGTCTGGTTTTCTGGTGGTGCATGGGAGATAAAGAGTCTTACGGACTTTTCCTGCCCTGGGCTGGCTTCAAACCTGGATCCTCAGATCTCAGCCTCCCAGAGTAGCTGGGATTACAGGGGTGAGCCACCAGCACCTGGCTATGCGATCTTCTTTGAGTTCTAGGTCAAATACTGACTTATGGCAATAATTACATTAATTAAAATCCTTATGCTGGGTACTGGTGGCTCCCGCCTGTCATCCTAGCTTCTCGGGAAGCTGAGATCTGAGGATCGCGGTTCAAAGCCAGCCCAAGCAGGAAATGTCCACGAGAGATTCTTCAATGAGCCACCAAAAAGCTGGAAGTGGTGGCGTGGCTCAAATGGTAGAGCGCCAGCTTTGAGTGGGAAAAGTTCAGGGACAGCGTGCATAGGTCCTGAGTTCAAGCCTCAGGATGGACACAAACCAAAGTACTGATCCTAAGATGAAAGGAATCCATCTTTCTGCTTTGTTCTAGAATCTTCCACCCTGTGTACGGATTTCAAAACAACGTCAAAGCCAGCTTACATTTTTCTCACTTCGGCTTGAGAATATCCACTATCAGAGGATCCCGCCTCCGCTTCTTTTGCTGACGGGGTTGGTGTTTGTGTTTCCGTGGAGATGAAGATGATATTGTCATGTGTGGACCATTTCCACAGCAAGAGAGAGATCTTCTTTTCTTTTTGCCAGTCCTGGGGTTCGAACTCAGGGCCTGGGCGCTGTCCCTGAGCTTCTTTGGCTCAAGGCTGGCGCTCTACCACTTGAGCCACAGCGCCACTTCTGGCTTTTTTTGGGTGCTTCATTGGAGATCCGAGTCTCATGGACTTTTCTGCTTGGGCTGGCTACCAACAGTGATCCTCAGATCTCAGCCTCCTGGTTGGCTGGGATGATTGGGGCCTGGCTTTCATTGAGAGTTTTTAGACTCTGGGCTGGGCATGGTGCTACACCTCTATAATCTTGGCTCTCCAGGAGAACACTTAGTTCTGGGTCTGAACCATCTACAGAGACTTGTTTTTTTTTTTTTGTCTTTTCTGGGTGCTAGTCCCCCTGGGGCTTGAACTCAGGGCCTTGTGTGCTGTCTCTGAGCTTTTTTGGGGGGTCAAGGCTGGTGCTCTACCACTTTGAGCCACAGCTCTACTTTTGGCTTTTTGCTGGTTTATTGGAGATCAGAGTCTCAAGGACTTTCCTGCCCGGGCTGACTTTGAACTGGGATCCTCAGATTTCAGCCTCCTGAGTGGCTGGGATTCCAGGCGTGAGCTACTAGACATCTAGCTCTAGAGACTTTTTTATCTTGGCCTTTGGGCCTGGGTGCTGTCCCTGAGCTTTTGTGCTCAAGGCTGGTGCTCTACCACTTGAGCCACACCTCTATTTCTAGCTTTTTTTTTTTTTTCCAGTGGTCCATTGGAGATAAGAGTTTCATGGAGTTTCCTGCCCGGGCTGGCTTTGAACCAGGATCTGCATCTCTCAGCATCCTGAGAAGCTGAGATTACAGGCGGGAGCTACCAGTCTCTTGTGTCAAAACAAACCCCCCCCCCAATAGAAAAGTTCCTCTCCAGCCGTATCCCCGATTGTATCATTTTCTGCCATCTCTCCTAATTACCCCACAGCTTCCCGTCTGAAAATAATAAATATTTATTATGGTTTGCAGTGTGTCAGGCAGCCGGGTGCCGGTGGTCACTAGATCTAACGGAGTAACCTGGGGCCTTGGTTGCTGGAAGCTGGGTACTTGTGCACAGTACTTGGTGTATCTGCAGGGTGCTGACAGGCTGAGTGCTCTGTCTGTTGGAGCCAAGAGGGAAGCTTCTGATCCCCAGCTTTGGATGCTCCTGTTGGGGTTTTCTGTGTGTGTGTGTGTGTGTGTGTTGGTACTGAGATGTGCACTCAGGGCCTGCGCTTTTGGTTCAAGGCTGGCGTTCTACCACTTGAACCACACCTCTAGTTGCAGCTTTTCGCTGATTCAGAGGTGGCCAGAGCTCCACGGACTTTTCCTGCCCCCCGCTGGCTACAGATCACCAGCTTCTGATCTCAGCCTCCCTGAGTAGCTAGGATTACAGTGTATACATTCTCCTTTCCTTCCTTCTTTCCTTCCTTCCTTCTTCCTTCTTTCCTTCCTTCCTTCTTCCTTCTTTCCTTTCCTTCCTTCCTTCCCTCCCTCCCTCCTTCCTTCCCTCCCTCCCTCCTTTCTTCCCTCCTTCCCTTGCTTCCTTCCTTCCTCTCTCTTTTCTCTTTCCCAGTCCTGGGACTTGAACTCAGGGCCTGAGTGCTGTCCCTCAGCTTTTCTTTTCTTTTTGGGTCCGGTCGTGGGGCCTGAACTCTGGGCCTGGGCGCTGTCCCTCAGCTCTTCAGCTCAAGGCTAGCGCTCTACCACTTGAGCCACAGCGCCACCTCCGGCTTTTTTCTTTTTGCTTATGTGGTGCTGAGGAATCGAACCCAGGGCCTCAGGCATGCAAGGCAAGCGCTCTACCACTGAGCCACCTTCCCAGCCCATGTCCCTCAGCTTTTCAACTCAAGGCTGGCGCTCTACCACTTGAGCCACAGCGCCCCTTCCCGCTTTTTCTGTGTATGTGGTACTGAAGAATGGAACCCAGGGCTTCCTGCACGTTAAGCAAGCACTCTACCACGGAGCCCCCTTCCCAGCCACATTTTTCTTCCTTTGTGCCAGTACCCAGGCTTGAACCCACGGCCCAGGTGTTTTCCCTGAGCTGAAAAGGTGAGCCTTGAGGTTTTAGCAGGTGTAAGAAGCTCTGAGTCCTTCTGGGCCGGCAGCCTCCTCTCCACCGCTATCTACTACTTGTAGATACAGCATACAGCTCAGTCCGCCATGATGAAGCCCGCCTGTCATCCCAGCGACTCAGGAGGCTGAGAGCTGAGGATGGTGGTTCAAGGCCAGCCTGGGCAGGAAAGTCTGTGGGGCTCTGATCTTCAAGGAACCAGCAAAATGCTGCACGCGAAGCTGTGGCTCACGTGGTAAGAGCCTTTGAGCCTACAAGCTTTGAGCCTACAAGCACCTAGGCCCTGAGTTCAAGACCCAGGACCAACTCTCTCTCTCACACACACACACACACACACACACACACGCGTGTGCACTAACTTCAGCATCATGGATCTTTAGCAGGTTTTTGCCAACTCCTACAATTCACCAACTTCAATGTCTTGTTTCCTCTCCGCTTGGTTTAATTTTTTGTTTTGGGGTCAGTTTTGAACTCAGGGCCTGGGCACTGAGCCTGAGCATTTTTTGCTCAAGGCTGGTGCTCTACCCCTTGAGCCACAGCACCACTTGTGGTTTTCTGGTGACTCCTGGGAGATCAGAGTCTCACAGCCTTTCCTGCCCGGGCTGGCTTTGAACCGCGATCCTCAGATCTCAGCCTCCTGAGTAGCTGGGATTACAGGCGTGTGCTACTAGCCTCGGGCTCAGTTATGGACTTCTCTAGAACTAACCAACCCCTCCTTGGGGAGTCTTGAGAGTCCTGCGTCCATTTTCTGCTCCTTTATTAAGGTCGCCTGGAGGTGACCGTGCATAGCACCTCCATCCTCTATGTACAAATGTACAAACACGCTGCACACGAAGAAAACACACCACTCAGTGAGGGCCCAGGGGCAGGGATGGGACAGAGGCCAGGAGCTCCAGGAGACGGTGGTGTGGCACTCACCAGACCACCAGTGGAGGCTTCTGCCCTGCTGGGTGTATGTGTGTGTGTGCACGTGCGTGTGCGCACACGCATCAGTACTGGGGCTTGCACACGCAGGGCCTGGGCACTGGCCCTCAGCTTTTCTGCTCTTCATGTGTGTTTCACTGGAGGTAAGAGTCTCCCGGATGTTCCTGCCCGGGCTGGCCTTGAACTGGGATCCTCACAGCTCAGCCTCCTGGGTAGCTGGGATGACAGGCGTGCGCTACGGGTGTCCAGCTCCTTCTCTGTTTCTCTGCAGGTGTTGCGGTTCTTTGAGAGTCACATACGTGTGCATGTACATGTATCAGCTATGTATGTGATACACACACGCAGATGTGTGTATGGCGTGTTTTCATCCGCGCGGGAAGGCCGTCGGCGTGGGGGGAGCCGCGCGCGCAGCCGGCGTGCAGGGCGGTGGCTGCGTCCGCTCTCGGAGGGGACAGGCCGCGGTGTCCCCGCCGCTCCTGTCAGAGCCCCAAAGTGCGGAAGGCGTCGCGCAAGTCGTCCACCTCGTACAGAGGCTGTGGGGGGAGACGGACAGGATGAAATCCTGCACGCACACGCGGGACACAGACAGCCCGGGGGTGGGGGGAGAGACAGACGGAGGCAGACGGAGAAAGAAGCCCTGGGGAGAGACCATCGCCAATCGAGCAGCAAAAAGCCAGACTGGAGGCGTGGTTCAAAGGGTGGAGCGCCCGCTGTGGTGGAAGCAAAGGCAGGAAGGCCGGGGGAGGGGAGGGGAGCCTGACCGGAGGGAGAATCACTGTCCAGTAGGAAAAGGTACAATCATCTGCCACATGCGTCGGTATCAGCCAAACAAATGCCAGGTAGTACATGGTAACACAGTACGCATGTAGTTTACATGCCACAAACATGCTGTCGCATACAATGTGTAATGTAAATTACACAACTTATATAAATTATATGCAGAGTATAAAATGTTATATGTATATCAGCCAATGTGTAATCTGTAAACTAGTAATTATAGTCTAGAAAATAACATAGACCACAGCATAAACTATATGTATAATATGTAATTATATGTATAATATGTAATTATACGTACAATATGTATGATACGTATAACATGCATACATTATATGTATATGTATAATATGTATGATACGTATAACATGTATACATTACATGTGTAATATGTATGATGTGTATACGTATATACGCATGACATGTATAATATGTATGATACGTATATATTATATGTATAACATGTATGATATGTGTATATTATATGTATAATATGCATGATATGTATATGTATAACAGGTATACATTACATGTATAATATGTATGACGTGTATATGTATATATTATATGTATAACATGTATGATGTGTATATTATAATACGTATATGTATGATGTGTATATTATATGTATGCTATGTATATATGTGTAGTATGGATGATATGTATAAGATGTATATAAACTATACGTATAATAGGAAGCGTAATCTATAGAATGATAAGTTATATGCATAATAGAGTCTATGTGACACATGAATATAAACCACATAATAGAAAATACTATAAAGTAGTGTCAACGATATGAATAATAGGAAAGATGCCATACGTAAGAT